TGTTGTTGTTGTTGTTATTAGTATTAGTATTATAACGTGTAACTTCTTTCTAGGTCCTGGGACAAGATCTTTGTGGTGATGCATGGCAACCTACTGTCGTTTTATAAGGATCAAAAGAGCTCCAAAGCTGCTCCAGATGCCTACTTCAAGGGAGAAAATCCTGTGGATCTCCGTGGGGGCTCTGCAGTTGTAGCCACAGACTATACCAAGAAGAAGCATGTGTTTAGGATCAAGTATGTTTTGGATATAATTCATTAAAATACTCCTTAATTTAATGTAAAACATTTTAAGTTCTAGAAATTAATGGTGTTTCCATTGTTATGTGGCCACCCACTGGTTGGATGCAACTGTGTGAACTGTTCTCGAAAGTAATATAAGTTTAACCATTTTATTTTGCAAATATTTATATTTGTCCATTGAATTTTAGAGTTTAAAAGTGCAAACTTCATTATTAATGATGAATTTTTTAACATAATTATGATTGCAAAGGTAATAGCTATCAACAAATAAATCATTTAAGCTTGTTTAAAAATTGTCAAGTTATTGATAAAGAAATTTGTATTTTATACATTTTAAAATTATGCAAGTCACCATACATTGTAATGTTGGAAGTAAACTAATGTATCTGACAAATAACACCTTGTTTGAATGTAGATAAATTTCTTTATCGATTCATTTTCATGTACTGTCAACTGGTGTGTGTATTATGTAATTAAGTACTCTTTGTCTTTTTGTATAGAGTTTTGAAAATTATGCTCTTCGCAAACATTTGCAATCCTCACCATTTTTTAATCTTACAGATTTTCAGAATTGCATTCCCTAATTATGGTGTTGGTAGTTCTTTTAGCAATTTAAAAATTAAATGTTAACAGAAAATTTTTGCTGAGCATAGCTTAATCATGAGGCAAGCACATTACTTGTCTGTTTACACTTCACACAATACTTTTTTCAAGATTCATTCTAAATGGAGATAGTTCTGAAGAGTAATGGCAGTGTGTAGTGCACAAGCTAAATTCCCATAAAGCCTCCTCGTGATTTGCATTTGTTTCACTAGAATTGCCCACCAACATTATAGCGTGGGAATGTAGAGTTTACAATATACTCTGTCACCAGTGTTGAGAACAAATTCCATTTATTGTGCCCAATACAAATCATGGGATTAAATCCTCTAAATCTAGTGGAGTAGCTTTCCACTATCATTCTAAAATAATGTTGAAGTTTGCATTTGCACAGAATATCAAAAGTAGGTTCGTATCGTACAGAATGTGGTACTTCTCACTACGCAAAAATTCTCTATTTTCTACTTGTTCAATGCATAAGTAGGTTAATCAGACATTTAATCAATCAGACCATTAATCCATGAATCCATCAATAAGGGGAAAAAATACAATTTAAATATTTGCTCACAGGTTGGCTACTGGTGCTGAGTACCTCTTCCAGGCACGTGACGATGAAGAGATGACCGCGTGGGTGTCACGCGTACAGGCCCAGTGTGATCAGCAGGGCTCTGCTGGACCCTCACGCTCTCAGACACTGCCTGCTGCTGGTGACCGCAAGGAGGAGTCAAAGCGACGCAGCTTCTTCACACTCAAGAAAAGGTAAAAACCACTGGCCAACACTTGCTAAATGCTTTTCTCATGTTGAGATTTTCCTAACGAAGGTTTAGTGACATGAATTAGGAGGCTGGTACCCTCAAGTTATGTTTAGTTGGTTAAGACCGTGTGGTAAAATTTTGACATGTTGTAGAATTTTTGTTAATTTATATTTTAAAGTGTTGGGTACTGATGAGTACCCAAGTTTTAAAAAAATGTAATTTATTAATAAAAAGGTTACAAGTTTTCAAAAGGAAAAAAAAAATTTTGTTGTGATTTAGAATCAGGATTTGGTGTGTTTGATGTTGTGGTACCGATGGTATTTATTTGTTGAATTGTTCCTCTTCATTTGTGCTAAAAGGAACTGCCCGCCCACTCATACTTGTGTTTAGAATATTAAAGGATTTTGAGGATAACCTTCAGAATTAATATGGTTTCTAGTGAAGTACATTGATACAGTATGAAGTGATGAATAATTCATTAAAATACAAGCAAGAGAAGGAAAATAAATAAGCGAAAAAAGTGGATTATATATAAGAGAACTTGTTATTCTCAGACAAATAATTTACTCTCAGAAATGTGAGTGATGTGCGAAGTTTGCTTATTCTGTTTATAAGAAATGTTTATCCCTGAATTCTTGACAGCTTATTCTTGCATATTGTAGTTTTAATTGATTTTGTGCTTTTTCTCCCCGAAATGATGGAAGTTTCATAAAAGTCCTCATTTTTATAAATATTGAAATTTTCTCTGTTCGTTATTATAATAAAATATGTATCACTTATAAAATTAGAAAGTTTTGTAGAAGTCAATCCTGAAAGCAAATCTTGAAACAGAATTTATGTGTAATATATATTGTTCATAAAAAAAACAATGACAAAGTAATATTTTTCCTAGTTTTATGGTAGGAAGAATGCTGAACAGATGTAATGTTAAAATTGAGAGGAACTTTTTTTTCTTTAAATTTAATTTTTATTTTTAGATTTTTATTTACTTTTTTGTTATAGTATAAGAAAATCTTACAAAAAAACTTACCTCTGAGGCAAAGTAATTTTGAAAGTAATTATTATTTAATGAAAGGTTTCTTATTAAAAAAAAGCATTAATATAGCATACTATGGTATTCTATTCACATGCTGATTGCTACAATCTCCAGCTTTTCTTCAGAAGAAAAAATGAAATTGTTATGTAAACATTAGTATGTTGTATTTTGCTAACAATAATTCATTGATTGAAAATTTACAGAAGATTAATGTTGGAAGTTCTGTTAAAGTCTGATGAAAAGTTTAATGTAGTAGAGAAAATTGTAAAAGGGCGTGAACAATTGTAAAAATTTAAAACTAATTTTAATATAATGATATAGTCTCGAATAAGTTCTTGATTAGTGAATGGATGCCATAGTGAATGTCAACTTTTGTAAAAAAGTTTCAAATATTTGAAATAGTTTGGTCTATTTGACAGTTGTGTTCACTAAATTAATATTTTTATTAATTAAATTCTACAGACACTGATTTTGGAATAAATGAAAGATTTAAATATTGAGATATTTTACACTATTTTTCTCTGTAGTTTTAGACAAAAAGTAAAACATTTACAAGGTTAAATTTGTGAATGAAATCATTTGCTTTGGATTGAAACACTTACTAGATATTAAATATTCATTACCTTTATATTGCAGTAAGTAATTGAGAATAGTGTTAATCAGAAGTTGGTCAGTTGTTTATTGTACAGCTTGTGTGCGAAAGCTTTGCTTAAAATTGTGGCTTAGGTGGTATTGTGGACTTCAAATGCTTGATATGTTGGAAATTTAGTCAAACACAAATATCATCTTTCAATAAGTTTCTATGTTTCCTGTTGCATTGTATATATTGTAATAAATTGTCAGTTTTGTCAAATAAGTCAGGATTATATACATAAATGAAAGTAAGATCAGTTTTGATGGATTTGATTTGGTAGTGTGTGGGATTCTTCATACATAAAATTTATGAAAATTTTTTTTTTAATTTTTTCAGTCCAAATATTCTGTATTCCACCCTGAACTAAAAGGGCTGAGAATTTATTTGCAGTGTGGATAATGACATAATCTCTTTTAAATAAGGGTTGTAATTTTCTTTTTAGTTGTTCCTGTAGTCTTACAAAGCAATTTAAAATTCAACTGAGAATTTAATAAAAATATTTATTTAATGCAGACTTCATTACTGCTACTATTTGCGTTATTTCATGCACTATTTCAATGATTTAGTGCATGCTATGAGTGCCTGACCAAGACAAATATCGAAGACAGAAGTGTATATTTTTGTGTAGAGTGGAGGATCCCGTGACAGACAAGTGCAGGCTTTGTGGTATGCTGTAGAATTTGTCCTAGATAAAATAAACTGATCTTCCTACTCAAACATCACAAGTTTTGATTTCCCTTAAATAAAATGTAGTTTATCTATCATAATATTTTCAAGAATCTGGTCGGCAGAGAATTGTCTGCAATGCTGGTATTATGTTTGGTCAAGTGGGTACACCACGCATTTCAACAACTGTTCTCTAAACCATGTGAAGGCTATGGAAAATAATAACTTTTATAGGAAGTTATTATTTATGCATGCATTTATACATGTATGCAAACATATATTCTTGCACACATCCATGCGTGTGTAGATAGAAATGAAAGGGCATGGCATTTTATTTCAAAATTATATGATTGCCGAGAGTGCAGAATTGTAAAAGGAAAGTTGCAACAAAAGAGAAAATAACAATTGCTGCCCAGGATTCATTCAACCAATGACTTTTTCTTTTCGATTACATCAATATAAAGTTGTGTGGAAAACCAATGAGAGAAATTTTTAAAATTTTCCTAATTTGTTTTTAAATAGCAGTCAAAAGATAATTTGTGGTGTGTTTTAGCGAGTGAGCCATTAAATGAAGATTAAGGGAGGGGGTTCTTTAGCAAGAAAGATGGTTACTTAAGAAAATAGGACAAAAAGGAGAAAATGGGGAAAATGTGTAGAAAAATTGGTTTTGAATGCTTGAATGCCAACTAAAGTAGATATAGTAATCAAGGATACGGGGCGAATGTAAATAATAGTTTTAACTGATTTGAAACCAATATTATATTTTGATTTTTAGTGAAAGTAATTCTACAAACAAGGTTGCCTTTTCTATTACATTTTGCATCTGCTAATGCAGACTAAAGAGATACTAATATTCTGTTTTAGTCATTTGTTTATTTATATTTTGGCAAATACACATAGCTTATATTCAATCACAAATTTTTAATTACTGGAATAAGAGGATCTAAACATTATTTTAGGTGTGATGGTTTGGTAATAAGGATTCTAAATACACTGATCTCATGTGCACTATAATTGTCCCAAAAATGTGGTGCACTAAAATTGTCCCAAAAATGTTTTGCTAATAAGGAAGTCATTCAGAGTGTGATTTTTATACTTTTTTCTTCATAAGTTCATAGAAGTATTGTAAAATACTTTGGGGTTTGACACATAATACATTTCTTGAAAAATAATTATTTTGGAAAATAAAATCTTTTTTTCAATATTAATACTCCAGATGACAGTCTGGTTAATCTACTCGGAATTCCTAATGAACCAATTTAGCTATTATCTAGTATCAGTATTGACTGTGTGAAGAATTAAAAGATAGGGGTTCTTAGAATTCGAATGAAAAGTGGATAAATGGTTTTCGGGTTATGTATGGAATTCAACAATTCTTGACTCGCAAGAGGGCTTCAATCTTCTCAGATTTTTCATATACTGTGGGTTATTATTTTCTCTCTCTCCTGGCAAGAAAATAGATTGCTTCACTCTACAATATTATTATTATTATTTGTATATACCTTGCCTCATGTGACCTGACCTTCTGGTTGTTATTATCAGTAAGTTGAAGTTTTTGCAAGAGGCAAGTGTGAAGAGTTTGAAGGCAGGGATGCCTTCCATTGATTCATTGGGGTAGCAGGCGTTATCATGACACAGAGGTATGTCCTGGGTGTTGCATGGTAGAGCTTCTGTCTTGTGGTCGTGTTGGTAGAAGGCGTCTCATCTGTGTGCATGCTCCTCTGTTGGGATTATAGCAGTTGTTCATACAAAACATATTGAACAAAATTCATCAGGTATATTTATGTAGTGAAATTTTTTAGGGACCAGTGTCTTTTCGTTTGAAGCTCTAATTCTTCTTGTGGCCCCTCTTTCTGTGTTAAAAACTATTTTATAGTTCTTTTTATAGAACAAAATACCAATACCACCAACCTATGTACTTAAATTTTTACTTTTTTCTTTATTTGTTAAAAGTTGTTGGCATGATCGCAGTAATGGTCTGTCATTTTGTTGTAACATTGTTTATTTTTGCGAGGAATGGCTGTCATCGCATTGACATTTATACTTTTTCTCCTCCTACAGAATGTAGTGGATTGAATAAGTACTCAACTCTTCTAGTTTCTGTGTGTTTCTTTCATCCTTTCTTTTGTATTTGTTATGAAGTATCCAAATTTGCTTGGTCAAGCACTCAAATGTAGCAGTTAATTATTGTTGACATTTAAGGGAGACCCAAGCAGGGCCTTCAAATTGAATTAATCAAATAATTTAAAATAATTTAGGATAATTGCATTAAACAAAAGACATAAGTTTTGAAATAGAACAAAAGAACAAGATTACTGCTATTGATTTCACTCCTATCACTGTACTTCTTTCAGTGTCTTCGTTTCTTATATAATCTTCTGGCTTCATATTTATTTCAAAAATGGGTATTAAAATCATAACCAAACAAAATATTTTTTTTAGGTAGCTGTAATAAAAAAAAAAATTAAAAAAATTATATAAAGTGTTGGAAACATTTGTTTTTATTTAGTATTTTGTTAATTTTCTACCGTTTTCTCTTTTTCTGTAGTGTTTGTTCTGAATCAGCCCCTTCTTTTCAATTCTTGTGTATATTTAATAACAATAATGTAAGTTTTAAGTACGTCATTTATATGCTTTTTAAGAGGTAAAAAAATGATAGAGATTTATGTGTTAAAAAGAAATTTATCATTAACAAATTTTCGTCTTCCTAACATTCATTTTCAATGAACTCCACTGAGGTGCAGTGTGTGGAATAGTCTGTATCTTGTGGTTAGAATATACATTCAATAATATCGTGAAATTTCAAACCAAAGAACGTTATAAAATTTCTTATAAAATTACTTTGATCAGAGCAATTTTCCTTTGTTGTGTTTTACGCCCAAAGTAAGAGTCATGAAATGCTGCGGCAAAAAATTAATAATTCTTGTTTCTAAACATAGTAAATTACTTTCTGTAACATGTAATGCAGATAGAATCTACAATTTGGGGGATGTTGGTACCAAAAACGGGATTACAGCAAAAGCCTGAGGTTGTGAGACTACTAGGTCCTAACTGGGCACAATTTTCACCAAAATTGATATTCCCCAATCACGTTGGTTCAACTTAAAATGGGTATTTTGATTTTGGGAATTCTTTACATGAAAAACATCTACAACATTTTTCTCAAAAACGGCGCAAAATTTTTTCTTTAAAATATTTTGTTAGGTAAAGAAGCAAAGTTTGCATGTTTAAATGGCGTGTGCCCAATTTTTATTAAATTCTAAAAAAATTTAAAAATTGTCATTTAAAAAATTTTGCAGTCTTTCTATAATCTTAATGTAGTATATTGAACTGTGCTGTGATCACAATATTCAAGATAGAAATTTTTTCCTGAATGAAATATATTCTTCAATAACAGTTCTTTAAATAACATAATTTACAATTTTTTGAAAATAAGAATAATTTCAACTTTGTGAGAAATATAGGCGATTTTGAAAGCTACATTTTCTCAAGTAGGATCTTTTTTTTTTTCCCCTCCACTTAGTGCAAAGCAATCTTATGAAAATTGTGCAGGTCCAATTTTTGTTGAACTTCCTGAGTTTACAAAAATTACAAAAGTTACAAAGAATGTGAGAAAGTATATGCTGTTATAGCTCCACTAGTTTTAAGACTTACACTGTTACTTTAATTGAAAATAAAATATATTTGATATTTAAGCACTCACAGTTGCTTGAGAATACAGATAGTAACTTTCTCAGGTGCTAAAAATGAAGATTCGAATTTGAAAGCCAGTAAATGTGTTGGCATGTTGCTGAAAATTAATTTATTCTGCCAATTGCTAGCAAAAGAGCTGAAATTGCTCGACTGAAGCTAGAGCTGTGATCTTTCTGTGTTATTTTATACCGTGAATTGTGCGTGTTAGCAGAGCTTGTCACGTCGCTTTGGAAATGTGCGGAGTTTGCGGTTTTACAACTTGTTAGTCTACAAGTGATTAGGGAATTCATTTTACCTGGTAATGATGAACTTTTTATGAATAAGAAATGTGGCTATGTGCTGTTTGACTTTCACTATTGTCAAATGTGTAACCTTACAAAAACATTTTAAAAAATATGGTTTTTAAGTATTGCAAAAGCTTTGGAACAATAATGATGAATAGACAGTAAATTAGATAAGAAATATTGACATAAATGACCATACATTTTAACAGAATTCTATTGTTTTGTCCATTTGCAAATTATCACTTTCTAATTATTTAGTGATGAAGCTAGTTTTTATATGGTTCAAGTGTAGAAATGATTGTACATAGTTTTTATGCATCTTATTGGCTTAAGACAATGTTGTTCTCAGCTGAAAAATTTTTTTATATTCTAGTTGCAGTTAAAATAGTATTGTAAATACTGTAAGAATTAGTTGGTGGTAGTTTTCTAATGTTTGTTTTTGTACATATTAATTCATAAAATCTTTAATTTTATTATGTTACGAGACAAAATATTTTGCACACTGTTGCTTTGGTACAAAATGCAATTTTCTTGCTTCTGAAATTGAGGCATTCAAATGTAATATTTTCTAAACTAAGAATAATGTACCTCAAAATAAAAAGGAAGAAGCAAAAGTTCAGAAAGATTGAAGAAAGAAATATAAGTAGAATGATAAGAAAATACTCACTCTTGGGATTCAAAACTTCATAGAGTATTGATAATTCAAATATATGAATACATGTACTTCAGTATAGAAATTTCTGTATTCTTTAGACATCCAGTTTTAATTGCATTAAATAATTTGTTTTTATTATTGACATTTTTGTATTTTATCATTTACTTTTGTATTAATGATCTTGAAAATGACTTTAAAGATCTTTTTCCTGAATTGTTTTTTAAGCAATGCCTAGGAATGTTAGAGAACAACATAATTCTGAAACAATATGTGTATTAATGCTTGAAATTTGGCTTTTAAAGCTATTGTTTCTGGAATATAATAATCAAATAATATTTAATTGATTGTAAATTAAATTGGTTTCATCCACTTTTACATTTTTTTTTTCTTTCAGCTAAGTGTTTGGACTGCCAGCCTCCCTTAGGCATCCATCTTTCGGCAGCACATTACCATTGACCATCAAAATCGCCGATGCAGACCAGCCTCCTCCCTGTCAGACTCACACGCAGCTGCTTGTGGTGTGCTGTGTGGCACATGCAAGAGACAACAACTCCGCATACTCATCAGTTTTCATTCAAATATCTGTTGACTGCTCCACCAGTGGGTAGAGTTGACAATTTCGCGCATTACTTTCCCAAGTTACGTTCAGTCGAAAGGGTATAAGACACCTGAGTGACTGATGCTGTGCTTTGCTTGTATTTTAGTTGTTCAGTTTGATCAGGTGGAGGTGGTAGATGTAACGTGTTCAACGCTTCAAGGAAACTGCCAGAAATGTTTTTCGCTGCATATTGTATCATAACGGAAAACCTCCCAGAGGTCCTTGTATCTCCCGTTGTTGTTTATTTTTTTCTATAAGTGTCCTGCACAAAGTGAAAGGAAAACATTGGAGTGTGAACGCTTCATGGGACTGCATAGTGCTAAGAATTTAATCTGTTTTATAAATAAATATAAATATATATATATAAATATAAATATAGCCTTTTGCTGCTTCTGTCTTCATACCATTGATAGACTGAATGCAACTTGATTCAGATGAAGGACTGAAGAATGTCTCTTGCAGAATTGCCCTGGGATTAAAATGCAGATGAGTAAAGAAGAGAAGGAGTCGCTATCTCCCATGTTTGTTTTTACATCCTCAATGAGGCTTTAAGGTCGATGAAACTAGACGATAAAAATGTTTGTGAGTTACACATGGGTTGGTTTAGCTGATTTTCATCATGGTAATTTTTTTAAAAATGTTTTTTTCATTTTTACAATGTTATAGTTGTCTTGTTCTGTAATATATCACACTTATCAATTGTCATTACTATTTTATTTTTTTGAAGATTTTAAAATAAGAATGAACTTGCATAAATGCTGCTCGTGTGCCCGCCCGTGCAGTTGTACAATTGTCTATTGTTTTAAAACAGTCGATTAAATTCAAATATCTTTCGCGTACGTTACTTTTGTTCTTACGCAATCTGGTTCACCCGCATTGCCGCTGTGGGTGGGCAGGGTGACGCAAGCTTTGCGGCAAAATTCATCAGCGAATCAGCACTCAACAGCATTCGCTTCGTATCTTCGTACATGTTCTTGCTCGTTTTACAGAGTTTCGTCCAAACTTTCAAAAGAAACTGTTCTCTAGGTCCATCAGGTTACAAATAAAATCTATACATACACATGTTCTATAATCAAATGATTATGTATTTTTAAGCAGTCTTTCTGAAGCCAGGAACTTCAAAAAAATACCAAAATAAAAAATAGCAGTCGTAGCCTAGTCACGTGAAATCTGGTTAAGAAAAAATTATCAAACGATAGCTTTAGTGAATTCTACTGGCTGTATTTTTGTTCTTCAAATTTTGGGTTTGAGAGATGAGCTTGCGCTAGCAAGAAGGGGGCAACAGGGATGTTTATTCCCAGGTTTGCCAACTTCTGCGGTTTGTGTGACTGCCACATTGCACAGAGGCAAAGTAACGTTATTTCTTTCTCTTTTCTCTCTTTCTCTTTTTCCTGTGCTTCACACATACAGAGTCATATATAAGAATATGTAATGTATAAATAAACTTGCTCTAGATTTTTGCCAGTTGTGTTGTTCTTGAAGATTTCCCCATGTTATCCATTTACCTTTTGTCCTTTCATTCTTTTTCTTCAGATCTTCATTAAGGCTTGAGAAATTGTCTTAAGAAATATTTTCAAGAAGAGTAATAAGAGAACTGTAGTGCAATAAATTTAAAATGTGACTTTATGAAGTTAAAATTCTGGAGAAGATAGTCTGCATTTGTAATTATAACTTATAACTTCTAGCCTGCAGCAGCAAAAATGCTGCATCCTGCAAGTTATCATTCAAAGAAACAAAATAGTTTTCCAAAATGCAGCGTGCCCACTGCTCAAGAGCAACAAATAAAGTTCTTTCCTATAGCACTGCAATAGATTAAATATTTTAACAAAACCATTCTTCACATAATACTGCAGTAACATAGTTTATGTATGCAATACTAAGTCTTTATATAACAAAAATATCGAACATTTTTCTTTGCATTATAAGGATATCAAACAATTTGTTGCTTCATAGGTCAGATGTGTCATAGCAATGACTTGAGAATTCAATTGGTACCCCTAATGTTTAATTGCTTTAGGATATTTCCAGAGCTCATGGGGTGTCTAATGAATCCATAGACATCTCACATTATCTGAGGCTGCATATTTTTCTTTTAATTTCTGTACATGTTGGAAATTAGTAATATAGTAAACTTTTTAGCAGAAGAAAGCATACAGAACCTACCTCCAAAAAAGAATTGAAAATCTACATGGAATATAAAAGATAATGGGACAAAGTGAGACATGTCAGTAGAATACACAGGAGCTATGTCGAGAAAATGTGTTGAAAGTGTAGAAAGAGATGTATCAGGCCCTCAATGAATGGATTACAAAGTTTGAAACTGCTGCCCATGAATGAGAAGGATAAAATCAGACTAGATTGCATACCACAGGAAAACTGGCTAAAACATTACTCCACTCTGTGGAAACAGTCCAACTCTCGGATCTAATGAAGTGCGGAAAGGAAGAAGCAAAATCTGTCAATGATAAATTAGGCAACTCTGAATATAGAACAACTCCAGGTAGTATTAAGTAAAGCCCTAGACCAGGTGAGGTGAACATAAAACACAAGGAAAGGAGCTGAAAGAAATATTAAAATTTTTTAACAAAGTATGGCACGAAAAAATTATTCCAATAGTGGCAGTGTTTGGTTACTAACATTCACAAGAAGGGCTCGAAGATGATGTGTAACAATTGCAGGGACATTACATTTCTGTCAACAGGTTCTAAGCTATATGCAAACATGCTGTGGAACAGACTCTGAAATATGGGAGAAGAGTAATGTGGATTCTGAAAGGGTAGTAGTACTAAAGATGCCCTCTTAAAATGACAGTTGTTAATAGACAAAAGAGGGGAAACGAATCTACCGACTTTTATAACATTTATTGATTATGAAAAGACTTACGACAAAGTTAATTGAAGAAACTGGGAAATACTAGAAGAGGAGAAAGTTCCACATCAGTTGCTCAATGCAATACAAAGTCTCTTCAAGAATTAAAATACTGTTAAGAGTAAGGGAAAAGTCAGTTGCAATCACAACCAACAGTGGCTTAAGGCAAGGATGTGGATTTTCACCCATCCTCTTCAACATGTATGTTAACTACTTAGTGAGAAACTGGAGAAGGAAAGTCACAAAAGGCAAGAAGATAGATACAATCTTGTACGCTGATGACCAAACTATCGTAATGGATTCTAAAGATAATTTACTGAGAGTAGTGTTTGTATTGATAAAAGTGGCCTATGAAGAGAGCAGTTCAAAAAACAAAAGTTCTGGCAAGGAATAAAGGAGAGGCAAAATAGTAAATGGAAAATTAGTGAAACGATTAAATACATTTTCATAATTCAGAAATGTCATATGTGTATACAACCAAACTCAGAAAAACAGAAAACAAACTTAATAATTACAATAGAATAAGTGGAACAATTAAGAGACAGACCCAGAAACAAAACTGCAACTCCACAATATAGCTTCTAAACCTAGAATCATGTATGGTTCTGAAACATGGGTAATGAAAGAGAGAGAGAAACAAAATCTACAGGCAGTACATATGAGATTTCTAAGACACCCTAGGGATCACAAGAAGAGACAGACGGACATAAAGACACCAGAAAGAAATTGAAAACCAAATGTTTAATAGAAGAGATAAAACAGTCTCAAAGAAGATGGAGAGATCATTTACAGAGAATAAATAACAGATTTTCAAAATGAATCTGGAAATACAAACCAATAGGGATCAGAGATAGAGGCACACTACTAATATGGCAACAGCAGGCACACTTGGAAGACTAATAATCTACCAAATACTGTAAGAAACCAACAGGCTGTAGAGCTCAATTTTTGGTCTGTTCATTATGATGAACTTTGTAGTAGAAAATTTATTCAGTTATTTCATGAAGTTGTTTGCATGACAAAAATTGCAGGATCTACCTGCTTCATGTTTTGAAACTTTCTTTTCATCGGCTATTTAGTTATTTTCCAAAAGTCTCTTTGGAGGTGTTTGTTTGGTAGGATCTACAGAATTAACTATATGTTGTTGTCTGTGACCAGCAAATTCTAGCATTTAATTTTATGATTGATCGAGAAAAGATTATCATAGTTCAGTACCACTGTTTCTTAATTATATTACAATTGATTTTACTCAAACAAGTGTGACTTTAGTCAATTTGTCAATTGAAAGGCAAGTCAACACATCCATAGAGGGTTTGTAAATTCTCAATCAGCTTCACCAATGAAGACTAAGAAGAAGACTTAACTCTGTTGTTGGTGGTGTGGTGGGGGTATGTAAGCAAAACGTCAGCAGCTAGTCAGCACTACTGAACTTAAGCAACATCACAAAGTGAACAAAGAAAACTCTTGGCCAATAACGATGCAACAACATACATGACCAACCCCATTTACACATACGTGTGTGTAAATACTATATTTACCCGAATATAAATCAACTGTGAGTATAGGATAGCGTAATTTTGAAGAAGAGGCTTGAGAATGTATTTTTTTTTTTTTTAACTGATTCTTACTTCTAAGTCAAAATCAAATTGCAAATTCTTATTGACCAGACAATTGCGTTGTTGAAATTAAGACTTATTGGCTGAACGATAATTTTTCCTGGTCCCTATTAATCATGATTTTTTCTCTACCCTGAACATCTTCACATCTGTACCAGTGTTTATTTCGTTTGGTTCTCCTTCCATGCTGCGACATCTAACATTTTGGCCCCTCTGAAAGTTTTGCGCGTTTAATTTGTGTTGCGGTGATGACGTCAGCGGTGTCGATGCCTGTGCGAATGACTCACGTAACGTGCGTCGTAGATTAACAATTATCTTTTGAGAAACGGCACAAGAGCGCTTTTTGCGACGTGCGTTAGGCCAGTTCCTTCTATTAATTACTAGTAATAGGTGGTATTGGTTAGGCCGATAGCTCAACCAAGACGCTGAAGCTACAACAGGCTCCACATATTCGGAATTAGCGGAGCTGCGAGCTTACTACTCGACCAGTCCCAATTAGCTGAAGACGTGTTCTGCGAATGTTCGCTCCCTTTGAGCAAGTTAGTCCTAAATACCGACACGCGGTGGGTAGGGCGAGCGCCGAATGTTCGTAACTCGTCAAATAGCAAGCAACTCATCCGCACTACTCGGGATTCGGCTCGCGACTCGCCGAATAACGAATGTGTGGAGCCGCCTTCAGTCGAGATAACGCGCGTTTTCTAGCTCCGGGAGCCAAGAGCCGTGTTAATCTACGACGCGCGTTAAGTGAATCGTATCCGCAGGCACCAACGAAGCTGATGTCATCAGCGTAGATGACGCACGTCAACGGAACGCTCGTGTGACACAGCTGCATATGTAACTACTTTATTGTAACTTAGTCGTGTATTGGCAACTAGCTAAGCATGCTTTAAAGTAGAGTCTGTTTGAATATTGGCTTCAGGGACAAGTACCTGTTGTTGCCCAAAGGAAATCTGCAGGTATCAAGACACAGGTGACCAGACGTACAGAGAGATTAAGTTCCACAAAATTGTAAAAGTAAATCATAATTTTGTCACGTTGAACATGCCATTTTTGTGCAAAGAAACCTAAATTATGTTGTAACTGTCACTTATTAAAGATATTGCAAACCTTCTTATAACTGTGTTTATAGGGACATTATGATTTTGTTGTTACATAATGAAATCCTTGCAAATTCACAGTGTTCTAAGCACAGGTGCCAAGGACGCAGCATCTCCTGGACAGCTAAGTACTTTTTGACTTCAGTTGGGAAAACCCATGCTCTCAATGACATTCAGTTATTCAAATAGAATGAACGACTATAATCCTTGAAGACCATAATTTTTGTCTAATCACTTCCAAATTGAAAAGAAAGAGCACTTATAACATGCATCACATCAGGATCTGATTATAATAATATTAATATTACTTATTTAAATTTTCTCGCGCTTCTCACAAATAAAAGGAACATATGTAATGTGTGATGGGCTCAGATTCCAGACCAACACAAACATTCGCATGTTATGGGACAAGATAATACTTTGTCTTTTGATCTTCATATTCTATATTATCTTTTTATTCTACCAGGGAGATAAAGTCTGTTTATTCGAATTAAACATTAAGATACTTTCATATCCAGTCTCATTAGAATAAATGAAACAATTGGGGCGAACAGTCATGATGTGAGTACCACATCAGTTGCCACGGTTTATTGTTACTATTCCTAGAATCCCTGCCCATTGATTCTCTCGAGAATGAAGCCGAGGCACAGGGAATGTTGCATAAATGCTGTATACATCGCCAATTTTCATATTAACTACTGAAAAATTTGGCTTACTGTATTTCTTTGAAAGCAATTTCTTAAAAGGGGTAAATTATGAAAATTGCTATTACGGAAGTAGTCTGTTATCAGGTACAATTTGCAGACAATACTAGTATATGGGTTTCATTGTTTTATTAAAGAAAGCGAAATTCAAATAAATCAATCTTTATTTATGTTGATTA